TCTTCTTTCCTTGTTTAAGGTCGTCGGTTAGCTGTATCAATCTTCTTCCTAGTCCTCTCTTTCCTTCAACCTGGCCTTCGGTGATATCACTCATTAATCCATTCCTTCTCATAATATGTCCCAGCCAGTTGGCTTTCCTTCGTGTAATCTTTGCTCGTTGACTCTCCTCAATACTTCTTCGTTTGTCACTCGATCCGTCCACCTGATCTTCTCTATTCTTCTCCAACACCACATTTCGAAACTCTCCAGGTATTTCTGTTCCTTCTTCCTGAGTGTCCAAGTCTCTGCTCCATACGTAACACTTCACTAGTTTCTTCTTCATCTCCAAGCCCAACTTGCTAGTGAGAAGTATCCTCTTCTTGACGAAAGCTGCCTTGGCCATGGCTATCCTTGCTTTTACTTCCTTGGTGCATAGGGCGTCCGTCGTGATTATGCTTCCCAAGTAAGAATCTGAATATTGTCTTCATAAATTTACTTCACATCTGGACTTCATTGTGGTAATTTTGACTTGATTCGTCATGGCTGGGTTTATGCGACTGGATGGCAAAGCAGATGTTCACCAATCAAGTAACATTCTGTGTGACGGTGTTTCCTTCATTATTACGTGTGCACTCTGCTCATATTGTGAAATTGTTATTTTGATGGTAGTACTTAGTAGAGTGTTTTAAGCAAATGTTTTATCTTTTCCAGCTCCCATAAGAAGCCAAAGTGGTTAACACTGACAATACCTTTTCGCCTCCAAATTTTAGCACATGGGAAATGGCTTTCATGTGGCGTTTTCTGCTGCAACACAGCCAGTTTTTGTTTATTCCACCCATTGCACGTTTTGTCTTCGATTATCCACATATTGCCGTTTAGTCATCTTGTTCTTTTGTGTGATTTTTCTAACATAAGTATACAGTGTAAAAAGAGCGATATTTTTGCTTCTTCTGATGTGGTATGCATGGCAACCTTTCAACAATGAATTGTGACTGGGGATAGTTCCAGACAACAGTGTCACAGGAAAAGGAAATGTAACTCTCTTTTGCCTGGTGCAAATGAAGTTGTTTCTTCCTACATCAGTACCATTAAAAGTAAAGTAAAGTTTGTCCCGCTATGCGCCATGTAGGCGCTTGGGGTGAGAGGAGGTATAGCTCCTTCCTTCCTTGACCTCAGCACTAGATGGGGGTGAGTGGTCAGCATCACGCCCCGGCCGGCCTTACTCCCGGGAAAGGACCCCGGTACCCATTGTAGAGGAGGCTGGGTGGGCTCCAGAGCCGGTCTGAATGCAGAGGATAGAGGAAAAATCCTCTGCCCTCGTCGGGGATCGAACCCCGGTCGTCGTCCCCCCCCCCATTCCTTGTCTTAGACTTCATATTCAAATTTAGGATGCAGTGGTATGCCATGTATTATGAGAGTCTGCAAAGGTTTTGATTCAAGAGACTGGAGGTTCTGTGCTGTGACTTTTCAGTATGTGTTCCATTTCTACCAGAAGTTGTGCTGTAGAGCAGTGGTATTCAACCTTTTTTTTGTTCGCGTACCCCCAGATATAATTTCCCTTAAACTTTGTACCCCCAAAGTTGTTGGTTTATAATTCAAGTTATACATAGTATAAAATCTACATCTAAAATAAATTAAATAAATTACATTACTGATTATTCAGTGTTTATCATAAAATAATATATATATTTTTTAAATTTCACGTACCCCCTAAGATGTCTTCGCGTACCCCAGGTTGAATACCATTGCTGTAGAGTAACAATATTTAAGTTTATGGAGTAGTGAAATGGAATAAAACAGAAAGAGTCTTTCATTCTTAATGGTTTGTAACTAAACTCACAGAATATTCAGATCTGTGACAAGACAAGCCAAGCCAAGCCACCATTATTGTTAAAATATTGTATTGATTTAGTAAAGTGAGAATTTACAGTATATGTCAGACATACCTTGACTTGACAGAAACCAATCAATTTTTATGAAGAAGTGTATAAAAGTCTGTATTATTTATCCTTCCCAATACTGGATCCTGTTGGCCTGTTGTGGATGTTAAGAAATATTCATATTTTTAGGATATTCCTTGGTCTTTGCCCTGGTTTCATGATTTAACTTCCTATCCTTAGTTAAGTTTTTAATAATTTATTAAAACAGTAGAAATTGTTTTCAGGGGGCGAGGTTTTACACATGTTTGTGTTGATCATCGACCAACCAAAGTTCTTGTGTCTGGGTATGAGGAGGATGAGAAGACGGAAGTCCTGGCACATTTTGGAGTGAGTTCTTGATATATGCATTGTTGAAATTTGTCTTGATTTTTGGGTTTCTCAGTACTTTATGTCACTAAGTTAAACTTGTATGTTTAATACAAGCTGATATTGTTGTAGCAATTTGGTGAAATTGTGGACTACATTGTCGATGAATCCACTCCTTCCATTATTTTAAACTACAAGTCTCGGAAAGAGGCCGAGGTGGCCATGGTGAAAGGGCGTACTTTCCAGGACCGTTTGCTATCAATTACATGGTGTAGCAATCCAGGGGTTGGTAGAGGAGTCAGGTGAGTGAGATGTTCCTGTACTTTGTATCATTAATAAATGCTGTAATTGAAAATTACATAATTTGGATCTTGTTTGGTATAAATTGCATTTTTGTTGTCTTGTTGATTATCTAAGTTCTCAGGCACTAAGAATATTTGGTCTTATTCATTACGTATTATTTATCTTCTTTAGACAGTCTCACTGTTTTATTTATTGCTTATGATATATTATATTGCTATTATATAAGTTAGTGTATGCGTTGGTAATTTGGAATAATGTCACATTGATTCTAATAAATTAGAAAGTATGTGAAGGAAGTTTGGTAATTTGTCATTATTGTTTTTTATATTTTATGTGTTTGTGATCTAATTTTGAATTAATTGAATAAAAATTTACTTGGATATTATCCATCGTCTAGTAATAAAACGTAAAAAACGACGTTTCGGAGATGGGGCTCTATCTCCGTCTTCAGGTTCCTACTCAGTTGGGCCCACTAGATAGAGCTAATCCCTATCTATCTAGTGGGCCCAACTGAGTAGGAACCTGAAGACAGAGATAGAGCCCCATCTCCGAAACGTCGTTTTACGTTTTTTACGTTTTATTACTAGACGATGGATAATATCCAAGTAAATTTTTATTCAATTGACTCTTCACCATCGTCAAGAAGTTTTAGATTTAATTTTGAATTATTTAAATTTTAGAACACTTTATTCCAGACAGTGCTTTATTTCTTATTAATGTTTTTAAGGGCATTTCCATTCCATTGTGGACACTATTGATATTCGTTTACCTTCAAGGCAAGTAAGATAGTTTCGTACTTTCAACGTAAGCATTGCATTAAGACTTGTCCCTCAGCTAAGTGTGCTATTGCTGCATGGTAAGACGCAGTATCAGTAATGACAGGGAAACACAAACTTGTTGGTGTATTATTCATTGATGAGAGTATAAATCAAACTGCGTACAACTGGCAAATAAATAGTGGGTTTGAAGTTGTATTCTAATGTGCACAGAAGAAAAGATCCACTTTCTTCCCCCTTTAAACAGATGTTTTGTGTATGACGCTCTCTAATTTTAAGAATGAGTAATTTAGGGAAAAACTCGTGTTATACACGAGTAAATAACATTTTAGCAAAAACAATATCTCCTTGAGGACACTTTCTCGGCAAGTGAGAGTGTCCAGATTATTTATTTGAGTTTAATTTTGTGTAGTTTGTTCCTTTTTAATGTGTATATTTTTTAGGATTAGGCTGTTTGCTGTTGGCAGGACCTGAGTTGAACTAAATTTAATTACTGTTGTTATTGTTAACTGAAATTGTTGGCATTCACGTTCCTTTTAAAAATTTGGGAGATTTCCTCTTGTTTACTGTTGATTTCTTGCATAAAAGTTGTCCCTCTGATAGATGTGCATCAGCTGCATTGGCATTTCCATTTCTTAATCAAGTAATGTGACTATTTTTCAGGGGAAGCCACAACTTGATGTCAGCTGTGCATCTCCATCATGGACTGGGTCATCGCTCTGTGATCATGGTGGGGGCTGGTGCAGAGGGAGGGGAACAACTCTTGGAGGAAGTGGATGAAGGCCTCATTGAAGAAGAGGATGAGGTGAGAAAGTATAAATGCTACTTTTTATTGTGTGTTGACTGAAATTATACCTCATTGCTTATAGCTTTAGAAATACATTATAATTTATTTGCATTCGTATTTTCCATGTGGGATATTGGTCATCTTCACTTTGTTTGGACGCCCTTTGGGATCGTTAGTGAATTTGTTCATCAGGTCTGTTTTATTAGTGTTGTACAACCAAAATGTTCTTGCCTCATCACACTTAGTATGGAGTTATTTTTAGACTGCATAGCTGTTTGAATAACTAATCTTATCCTGTCATCTCACTGCATAGTTCACATGTAGACTGTGGAATTTAAATGCTGTACCTAAAAGGTACTGTAACTGATATTTTTTTCTCAGAAATTTTCTTTGATTTGAAAGATATAAAGAATATGGCAGCTCATCTGAACACAAATTCATGCCACTGTGTTACAGGAGATACCCAAAATCAATGTAAACTAGGTTGTCCTGGGCAAAACTAGAACAAGTAATTATTATGGAAATGTAACCTAACCTCATAGTGATCACTGCCGTTCTTAGGGGCTTAACACATACCTTTGTAAAAACTAGTCACTGCTAGTGTTAGAGTACATTACATTTTGTGAGGTTCAGTAACAATTATTTTTGTAATTTTGCATAGGACTAACTAGTTTAGATGAATTTTGGGTGTTTGCAGCATCGTTTCTATAATTTCTGACATAAAAAAAGTTCACGTATCTACATAACAATAATGTATCAGTTGCTGTCAGATGAAAATATTTTACATAATTCTATAGTATAATTTTCCAAAAGATAATTTCAGTAAAGAAGTTCAGAAAAAACTGTTTCCATATGCTACAAGACTACAGAGCCCACACACTACTTCAGAACCCTACATAAAATTATTGTAAATATTCATAATGAATAATTACTTATACTTTACTTCTTACTTCTTCTTCTTCTTCTTATATGGCTCTCCGGTCTGTATTCGGTCCATGGCCTCCTCAATTCTCCTCTTCCATTCGGTCCTCTGTTAGGTCCGTCTGTCCGAGGCTTTGATCGAGGTTTCGAAAAATCTTCCTTTTTACGGTGCAAGGTTGTTAGCCTTGCGACCAACCCCCAAACTGGAGGACCAGGGTACCTGTCTTAGTCTGATCTCTCCCCCTCGACCAATCTGGCTAGGGAGGCCCTACCAGTAGCTCTTGGGGTCACTGAGGTACTCACGGTCCTCTGTTAGGTCCGTCTGTCCGAGGCTTTGATCGAGGTTTCGAAAAATCTTCCTTTTTACGGTGCAAGGTTGTTAGCCTTGCGACCAACCCCCAAACTGGAGGACCAGGGTACCTGTCTTAGTCTGACCTCTCCCCCTCGACCAACCCTACCAGTAGCTAAGCTACCGCCAGCATAGCTCTTGGGATCACTGAGGTACTCAAGCCCAACCACCACGACAGGGTGCAGGTACCATTAAGTAGGGAAATTTCTTATAAATTAAAGATTTCTCTTTATAGGCTTATGGAAAGTTGTATTTGTTTGATTAGACAATTGCCTTTATGTTTCAGTTGGGTGTAGCTGAGTTGAGTGAGGATGTACTGCTACAAGATGATGAGGAAGAAGAGGAAGATGGTGAAGATAGAAGCTGGCGACGATAGCAGTCGTGATCAGTCTGTATGTCTCGAAATTCACGGCCCAGAGGGCTTGCTTGCAGTGTAATTATTCGAGTGTAATGCACAGTGTGTAGGAACATGTGCGTTAGTATGTATATACATATTTTGTAACTTTTATAAATATTAGATATTTCCTTTGGTTCCAAATGTGAATTTCAATTATTTTAACCCTTCCCAAGCAATTTTTCTTGTGTCTGTAAGTGGAATATTTTTTTCTGTAAACTAAATTTTATTATGCGTGGAAGTCTTCAGAGTAACTAAAACTATAATATAAGTTTTGAAACTGAAACTGAGTTTCACCATATGTTAGCTCCATTTACCAACTAAAGACTGTCCTGTAACTTGATGCAAAGTTTTTAATGTAAATTTCTAATTGGATAAATGACGCACGTCTCACTGAATTTGTTGCGCTTCTTTATGAGCCATCACAGTTATTTCGGGTTTCACGCACATGGAAACATGTTTTGCGATTATAACGTCAGTGACGTTTTCCATTGCCAGCACTAACTCTGGAAAACAACTTCTGTGTGATACATTACAAAGTACTTGGTCTGGGTTTGAAAATGGCTTTTTCTGCATGTCTTTGCTCTGTGAATGGAGAGTACTGAGCTAGAGTTTCGGGCATATCTTTTGTAGATGGTATTGCTTTTTTCTGTTACGTTATTGGTACCTATTAACTTGTGCTCTAGGTTTTGGCTGTGTGTAATACTTGTTGGTGTAGACAAATTATCCAGAAGATGGGTTGGTAGTGTCTTTCATGAGAACAGTGCACAGCTGTTATTGCTTGCATAGTTCTCAACATCAGGGTTCTCATGTACTGTTTTAACAGTATATGTATCTGTTAGATACCACAGACATTCTTAGCCCAAAGTTATAAGATTATAAGTTTTAGAGGATGCTGTCCTTTCATTTACTGTTAAATAGAAGTGGGAAAGTAATTAACCCTTCAGTGACAGCAACCATTTATGTGGTGTTCAACCCTGTGGACAGAGGAAATTTAACCCGATGTACCTGGTTTGTGCCAAGGTCAGAGGCTATCGTCATGTGACGAGCAGGTTCATATCGTGCGCAGAGGGTTAAGGATGCATTTTGACCTGTTTTTGTGAAATACAGGATTTATTGATCTTGTTCCTCAGTGTGTGCAAAATGTTTGTTCCAAAATAAACTGAAATTTATCTGTGACAAGACATCTGAAAATAATTGCATTTTGTTTACCTTTGTTTGAGAGAAGTAATCAGCATGGGATGTAGGACCACGGCTTCAACTCCAGACACTGCCTTGAGGGTTGAAGATGCTCTCTCAGTAGGGGAACATATTTCATACTTTCGTCTTGTTGCCATTCAGTATGGTTTCCTGTAGATTGAGGTCCAACAAATTCAAGTGAAAGACAAAATTAAAATATTTAGCAGGCTCATTTGTCCAATAAAAAATTGATGGTACAGCTGCATCTTTTTCAATATTTTGCATTTTGGTACTTTTGCTTGGTTCAAGCCACTTACTTACCATTGTGTATGGTTTTTCTGTCTGTTGTGCTGTTCTAGCTCTGCGTAGCACTGGCATCACTTATCTCATAATAACTGTCAGTGGAATGAAAGTCTAAAATTATTTAATGGTAATATCTGAAACAGACACTATTTCTTCATCGTGCACTGTCCCCCTTTCAATGTTTGATATGCAAAAAGATTGAAAAAAACAACCACTAAACAAATTGTCTAAGTGACTTGGCACATACGTGAAGAACTGTCTCCCACACTCGCATATACCTAAATCCTGTCATTTGAATCTGTAGTATCACAGATGTCACCAACATTTGCCTTGACATCTTTTAATGTCATGGCAGAGACAGCAGTAAATACAGACTTTGTATAAACTTTGGGTATGTCCATATTCTGCATATGAAGTACTGGTTGACCTCAGATGTATCTGGTTTTCACTTGGGAAGGGTTAACGTTAATTTGATTCTGTTCATACAACTAAATGCATTTCTATTGGCATAGACTATATGACAAACATTGTAATTTTGAGTGAGAACAAAACTTCTGTAACAAAACTGCTTTCATGTACTGCAAGAAAATTGTAATGTTGTCATTACTAGTATAGTTTTAATGGTTTTGTTTTAAAGTCAGTGGCGTAACTTTGGCACGTCAATCACCAGTGAAATAAATGCTCTGACTTTCAAACATTGGAATTTCATTTTCCATACTAATAAATGTATGTGCACTGATTAATGTACAACATTGACAATGTCTTTGTGTTATATTAAGTCATAGATAATTGTACTTGATTTTATTGTAACATATATTTGTGATTTGTTTTCTTCAATGAAATGTTCAGTAATTGATGTAAAAATACTTCATGCAAAAATGTGCTTTGTATAATGGTTAAAGATGAAAAGATTGAAAAGATAATAGCTGATAAATGAAAAGTTGAAAAAGAAAAGAAGGAACACTAAAGATTAAAATGTTATGAAAAATTACAAAAAAGAGAGTGAAAAAAGAAACAGAAAACATTAACCAATTAAAGCACTGAAGTTTTTGTACAATAATAAAAGAAGTGGGAGCAAATACTAAAATGAAACAAAGAAAAGATCAAAACAAAAAAATTATCACTTGCCCCACCAACAAAACAATTGTTTCTTAAAAGAGCAAGATTTTCTGCAAAAGACATTTTATGCTATGTGGTAAATAAGATTGTGTGCCTTTCAGACAATTTCCAGCATTTTTTGATTTTTCAAAAATTTTGAAAAATCTGATTTTTTTAAAATTTCCACTGCTAGATTCATACAAGAACCGGTCTCTGCCAAAGCCGATCTCACACAGGCAGGCTCTGTCTCACCCAATCTGTGCTTCAACCGGTCTACGTCGGACACGCTCTCTGCCCGACTCTGCATGTCTCAGAGTTAGGTTGGGTTAGGTTAACTTAGGCTAGAGACAGTCATACAGAGACCGGACCTTACTGAGACAGGATCCGTCAGGTTACGTCAAAGACCGGATGAGGCACAGCACTATGCTGACAGCGATCGGGTGGGGAGAATTTTTGAAAAATTTTGAAATTTTTCCAAATTTTTAAAAAATCAAAAAATGCTGGAAATTGTCCAAAAAGCGCACAAAACGAAAAAAATTTGAAAATTTTATCTTAAAATTTTTTTTTCAAAAAATTTCGACTTTTTCAAAATTCCCCCACCTGATGCCATGCAGAACCAGTCTCTGTCGGACTGTATCTGATGTACTGTGTATGAAGAATACGGTCTATGCATGACTTGGTCACTGCACGGACCGGTCTCTGTATGACACGGCTCTGACGTGCCGTCTCCGAGGCAAGGTGCGGCAGACATTGACCGGTCTCCTGCAGAGTCCGGTTGGTGCAGACTCCGAGGCAGGCAGCAACCGGGTGAGATAGATGCCGAGTCCGGCAGAGACAGGATGTGGCAGTCACCGAGACTGGCATGCATCTCTTGGGGAGAGTTAAGAAAAAATGTTAAAAATTTTCAAAATTTTCGAAAAATCAAAAAAATGCTGGAAATTGTCTGAAAAGCGCACAAAACCAAATTTTTTTTGAAAATTTTGAAATAAATTTTGAATGTGGAATTTTTCAAATATTTCAATTTTGTGCGCTTTATGAACAATTTCCAGCATTTTTTGATTTTGTCAAAATTTTGAAATTTTTCAAAATTCCACCACCTGATGCCTTCCAGAACCGGTCTCCCTCGGACTGTTTCTGATGTACTGTGTCTCTGACTAATGTGGTGCGGCATACGACACATAAGGCAGAGACACTGACCAGCAGAGAACAAGTCATGCAGAGGCTGTTTGTAGCAAACACCGAGGCAAGCAGCAACCGGGTGAGATAGAAGCCGAGTCCAGCAGAGACAGAGAGGCATTCGCCGAGTTTGGCAGGCATCTCTAGGGGAGATTTTAGAAGAAAAATGAAAAATGCTGTAAATTGTCTGAAAAGCGTACAAAACCAAAAAATTTGAATGTAAAATTTTTCAAATTTTTTTGGTTTTGTGCGCTTTTTGGAAAATTTCCAGCATTTTTTGAAAATGTTGAAATTTTTACAAATTCCCCACCTGATGCCTTGCAGAACCGGTCTCTGTCGGACTGTTTCTGATGTACTGTGTATGACGAATACGGTCTGAGCATTTCTCGGTCTCTGCACGGACCAGTCTCTGTATGACACGGCTCTGACTTGGGAATTGCTACATTCGCGACTTGGGACTTGGGACTTTTCCAGACTTTGGACTTACAGATTGGTGCACACACAAAGGTACGCAGCAAACAGGAGAAGCCAAGTCCGGCACAGACAGATAGAGGCATTCACCGAGTTTGGCAGGCATCCCTTGCGGAGATTATAGAATTTTTTTCAAAATTTTCTAAAATTCAAAAAATGCTGGAAATTGTCTGAAAAGCGCATAAAACCAATTTTTTTTTAAAAAAATAATGTGAAATATTACAATTTCTTTTGGTTTTGTACGCATTTTTGGACAATTTTCAGCCTTTTGTTTTACAAAAATTTTGAAATTTTTCAAAATTCCCGCAACTGAAGCCTTGAAGAATCGGTCTCTGTCGGACCGTTTCTGATGTACTGTGTCTGACGAATGCGGTCCGAGCATATCTCGATCTCTGTACGGACCGGTCTCTGTATGACACGACTCTGACGTGCCGTCTCTAAACAGCTCTGGTGCGGCATACAACTCATAAGGCAGAGAACAAGTCCTGCAGAGGCCGTTTGGTGCACACACCGAGGCAAGCGGCAACCGGGTGAGATAGAAGTCGAATCCGGCAGATAGAGAGGCATTCACCGATTTTGGCAGGCATCTCTTGGGGAGATTATAGACTTTTTCTCAAAATTTTCCAAATTTAAAAAAATCCGGAAATTGTCTGAAAAGCGCACAAAACCATTTTTTTAAAAAAAATTTGAATGTAAAATCTTTAACATTTTCTTCGTTTTGTACGCTTTTTAGAAAATTTCCAGCATTTTTTGAAAATTTTGAAATTTATTCAAATTTCCCCACCTGATGCCTTGCAGAATCGGTCTCTGTCGGAGTGTTTCTGATGTACTGTGTATGGCGAATACGGTCTGTGCATGTATCGGTCTCTCCACGGACCGGTCTCTGTATGACACGGCTCTGACTTGGGACTTGCATCTTTTCGCGACTTGGGATATGCGGCTTCTCACGACGTGGGACATACGACTTCTCACAACTTGGGACTTGCGACATTTCGCGACTTTGGAATGCGATGTTTTGCGACTTGGGTCTTTTCTCGACTTGGCACAACCGACTTCTCACGACTTGGGGCTTCTGACTTTCCTCGACTTCGGCCTTGGACTTCTAAAGATTTGGGACTTGCGACTTTTCGCGACTTGGGTCATGCGAATTCTCAAGACTTGGGACATGCGACTTCTCACGACTTGGGACAAGCGAATTCTCAAGACTTGGAACAAGTGACTTCTCAAGACT